GACACCCCTGACCTGGATGACTGAGAATCTCAATGGACTTTTAGCTGTACAATTTGGGACAAATACCCTTCAAATGGTGTGGAATGGATTTCCAGAGGAAAAAAATTGCAGACTACAGGAACCAGGAGCACTACTCAGGTGATGCTGAGGGCACAGATAAACCTCCAAGTGGCCTCATGAACTCTCTTAAAAGGATGAATGTAAATCCTTCTGTTTCCCACCATCCAGTCAGAGCGGAAGAAGCTTCTTGGAGGAGAAACGAAACGTCTTCAAAAGAAAAAACAACAAGGAAGTCCAGTTGCCTCCTGAAAAAAGCACCTTTGGGACAACTATGGCCTGGATGACTGAAAATCTCCACAGACTTCTGATACACCTACCTTTGCAGGATATAAGGAAGAATTCCCCTTGCTGAAAACCGCCGCTGAGGGCGATCACGTACTCGGTGTTATTGTGAGGGAAAAAGACGGGAAGCAGCCTCCTCACGCAGACGTTGTTCAAGATCCGTGTCCACAGATCTAAAGGGGCAGCAGAGGGAGAAAGAGTAGACCCCCAGGGTTACCAGAACTCCTGCCATTCTGCCCATAAACCTCTGGCACCTTCCTGCTACCTTCTAAAAGGGAAGGAGAGGAGGATCAGCAGTCGGCGGGATGGGCTCAAGGGCAGTAGTGGCCAATGAGGGAGTGCCCATTGAAAGGGTTGTCCCAAAGATGCCGAACAGCTGTGGTGGCGCAGGGGTTAGAATGTGGTAGTGCAGGCTCTGCAGACTGCCAGCAGTTCGAGAATCACTCACCGGCTCAGGGTTGGACTCAGCCTTCCATCCTTCTGAGATCGGTCAAATGAGGACCCAGATTGTCGGGGGCAAGAGGCCAATTCTGTAAACCACTTGGAGAGGGCAGTAAATGGACTGTGAAGCGGTATATAAATCTGTGCTATTGCTCTTCCTTCCTTCCTTCCATTCTCTCTCCCTCCCTCCCTTCTGTGGTGCACAGTGGTTAGAATGCAGTATTGCAGGCTAACTTTGCCCACTGCCAGGAGTTCAATCCTGACCATCTCAAGTCATCCTTCCATCCTTCTGAGATCTCGTCAAATAAGGACCCAGATTGTTGGGGGCAAGAGGCTGATTCTGTAAACCATTTAGAGAGGGCTGTAAAAGCACTGAGAAGCAGTATATAAGTCTAAGTGCTATTGTTCTTCCTCTTCCCCTCCCTTCCTCCCTCCCTTTCATGGTGCACACTGGTTAAAATGCACGATTGCAGGCTAACTTTGCTCACTGCCACGAGTTCGATTCTGACCGGCTCAAGGCTGACTCAGCCTTCCGTCCTTCCAAGGTCGGTCAAATGAGGACCTAGATGGTTGGGGGCAAGAGGCCGATTCTGTAAACCGTTTAAAGAGGGCTGTAAAAGCACTGTGAAAAGTACCATCACAGCTCTTGAACCCCCGTGAGAATCCAGAGGACTTACTCAAATTATGGTAAACCGCACTTCCACATGTAATTGTATAGGTCATTCAGTCCCTGGGATCTTAATAATGCATGGAGTAAAGCAGGAACGCAAGGAATCTAGTGGGTTGATTGGACTCTCTGGCAGGAAGCTTTGATTTTTACCGATTATGGATCTTCCTGGCAAGGCCACGCTCCTGGAAGCACCGGGGCAGGAGGGGGAAGGGGCAGGTGGCCACAGGAGCAGTTTAGGGCTTTATTTTTTTTAGGCTCACATACCAGATCCTTTGGTTTCCTGGTGTAAAATTGGATAATGCCCTGTAAAGTAATAGACCAGTTGGTTTTGCCGGATGAAGAGAGTACTTTCGGTAGCGATGGTGTCTACAATGGAGGAGGAAAAATTTCGTTGCGGGCAGGAAAGGGAGCCGATCCAGCAGCTGTCGATGCCCACCTGCAGCAGAGCCAGAGACAAAAAGGCAAAGCTGTATTTGCACAATATTGGGAAAATGAGAACACTCCATTAGATGAGGATGTAATTCGGAAAACATTAGATGCTGCAGAGATGGATAGATTGGTGTTGAAAATAAAGGATAAAGAAGACACAGAGTATTACTTAACATGGAATAGATTTTACAAGTGGCTAAGAGATAAGAGATAGAAATTACATGAAGAAATATTATTGCTATGTATGAATTAAATATAAAGATGGTTTATAATTATAAATATGCCAATATAATCAACAGAATTACAAATAAGCTAATACAAAGAGAAATATCTTATTCCATTATGCTATTATTAGTAGTATATGTGTTCATATCCGTTTGTTCTTTCTGTTTTTCTGTAAATGAGTTGCCCTGACAATACACTGTATTCAAAATGTTTATGAAATAAATAATATAAACTAAAAAGCAAAAAAGGGCAAAGCTGTGTGAGCTGAGGGGAGAGGAAGAATCTCTCTCTACGGCCCTCCCCAAGGGAGGAAGCCTAACCCTCCAGAGGTGCGGAAAAACACAGGATAGTCCTTGACTAATGACCACAAAGGAGGCCAACATTTCTGCGGTTAAGCAAGACATTTGTGAAATGAGCTGGGCCCCGTTTTACGATCTTTCTTGCCACAGGGGTGAAGCGGATCACTGCAGTTGTTAAGTTAGTCACACGGTTGTTAAGTGAATCTGGCTTGCCCATGGATTTTGCTGGTCAGAAGGTTACAAAAGGAGATTGCGTCTCTCTCTCTCTCTCTCTCTCTCTCTTTTTCAGTGATAGCAAGAGCGCGTAGACTTATATACTGCTTCACAGGGCTTTTACAGGCCCCTCTAAGCGGTTTATAGAGTTAGCCTATTTTCTCCAGCAATCTGGGTCCTTATTTGACCGACCACGGAAGGACAGAAGGCTGAGTCAACCTTGAGCCTGGTGAGACTTGAATTGCCAAACTGCTGTCAGCTGTCAGTCAGCAGTAATAGCCTGCAATACTGCACTCTAACCACTGTGCCACCATGGCTCTTAGTGGTGTTGCAATTTTTTATTGTTGTCATTTTCTCTCTCTCTCTGTTTACCTCTATTAGGTCATACGTATCAAAGTTCGTATTAGAGATGATGACGATCTTCTTCTCGGGGATCCCTCCCAGGATAAGCACAGGTGCTTGTCGGTAGGTGGCCCACAAGGGCCGTGATGGGTCATACAGGCTAAAGACACTCTTCCACCTGTACAACTGTACCCAAACAGACAGGGAGATAAAAGAAATGTTCAGCACGTGCCCATCAACCCAAAATGTTTGATTCCGCCGCAATGTGAAGCCCAAGATGTTTAGGGCTGGGTGCCTAAGACATATAAATAAAACAGTCGCTGGAATTGGGTACGTCTAGTTTAATGAAAAGAAGGACTAGGGGTGACCTGATAGCAATGTTCCAATATCTCAGGGGCTGCCACAAAGAAGATGTCAGCTTTGGAAGCCATATTGATACCAGATGCTTCCACACTGCCACATTCTTGAGCCTGGGAAAATGGGAGGGGGGAATATCTTGGAATGTATGTGGTTAGACATAATAGCATTCTTCTTCTAACTCAAGGTCATGTTATCTCTGCACCTGGTGGAGAGGACATCTCAAGTTGGGACAGATGGTGATTGCGGCATGTGATGCCATGATGGGTGCAGGGGGTGGATTTGTAGTCTTTACTTATTGCAAGGAAGCTTGGAACTTTCAGATTCGGGACTTCCCAGATGTGCCAGTTTACTATCCAATTAAAACAGAACTTTTGAGAGGATGTTTGTCTCGGAGTTATTTGTTGGAGTGGAGATTTTCTGGAATGCTGACAGAAGGGGCGGTGGGTCAACCTCTTCTCCAAAGCACATGAAGGCAGGACAAGAAACAACGGATGGAAACTAAAAAAAAAAACTGGAGGTTTTTTTAAGGAGACTGGACAATCACTTTGTTTGGAATGGTATTGGGCTTCCTGCCTGAGCAGGCGGTTGGAAGACTTTTAAAGGTCCCTTCCCACGCTGTTAAGCCACAGATTTTAGTTGGGCCACAGCACTCTTCGCTGTAGGTGAAGCTTAGCTGCCCCTATTTTCCAGTGAGGTTAGTTCTGTATGTGTGAGGAGATAGGAAGATTTGGGTCAGTTTGGTTTGGTAGTGGTTTAGGAGCTGGACTAGAAAACAGGAGACTGTGAGTTCGAGTCCTCTGGCCAACTGAATGTTCTCAAAGGGATGGCTGGATTCACAATGGAAAGGGATTGCTGGAGTGTCCTCTGTCCAGGGGAACCAAGAGGCATTTGCCTTACTGAATGCAAGCAGGTTTTGCTATGGGCTGTCGGCCACCCGGCCCTCCAGCAGCCCAATCAGAGGAGGAGGCAGCGTGGGAGTCAGGGTCAGCAGCAAGACAACCTGACATCTCTGAGGGGGAAGAGGGAGTGGAGCTGGCAGAGAGGGAGACAGAGGCAGAGCCTGGGCTGTCCGTCAGACCTCAGGTGGAGAGTCAACAGCCCGCAGGTCTGGAGGTGGCTGATGAGGAAGAGGAGGAACAGCTGGGTCCAGTGCCTGACATGCGGATGCCCTAACCCTAACTCTAACCCAAGCATTGTAGGTCTACATTTGCAAACCCCAGCCCACAGCAAATTACCTTTTTCCCAATCCTGAATATATCTGATATGTCGGATGGTTCCATAAATCCATTTATGTTCATGTCGAACCTAGGAAGAAAGGGAAAGAGGAAGCGCATGCATATGAATATTTCATTTACTATGTTTCTGAATAACTGTCTGCCAAAGCAAATTATACTGTGATATGATACTTGGGTCCAAGAGAACCACAACAAAGGGGGGAAAGTGAAAGAAATAGGAGGAGAGCAATTTAGAATAAAATTATCTGACGGCCACAGCAGGAGACCTTCTCGAAAGGGAGGAATCGAAAGGTTTGGTTCCAACAAAGTGGTTTGAGAGGCAGTCTGGTCTAGTGGTTCAGGGTAGTGGGCTGCAAAGCGAGATACCATGATTTCTATCTAGTCCCCCTTTAGCTATGAATGTTGGCTTGGTGACTTTGGGCTAACCGCTAGGAGACATAAGTTCTAGTCTGGCCTTAGGCATGAAAGCTAGGTGATTTAGGGCCAATCAACAGAAGACCGTGAGTTCTAATCTTGTTTTGGCTTTAAATGCCAGCTGGGTGATCTTGGGCGAGTCACTTTCTCGCCATTCAACTTGGTGGTGGTGGTGGGTAAAATAGGAAGAGGAAGGTATATTGGATATCTTCGATGCCCTGAGTTATTTGCAAAAGAATAATAAATGCAGGAAAAAATAAATGAAAGGTATCTAGTATTAATTAATTCCCTTGTTGGCAGCATTTAGCAAGAGGGAAGTCTAGAAAGACCACTAGACCCAGCCTCTTCTTACATCCTGTCGTTTACAGGGATCCCAAAGCCATTAGACTTCACCAGGACTCGGTGTATAACGCTGCCGTTCAAGAAGGGCATCGGCACAAACCAAAACATCTTGCAAATTTCCTCGCTATCACAAGTTGCTGAATCTGGAGAGACAGAGAATAGCATGTCACGCAGCCTGAGCTGCTTGCTGAATGATGAGCAGAAACCTACCCCATGGTTACCAACAGAGGCATGGTTTTCACAATACGTTCATAAGGATGTATGCAGGCCATCCCTGACTTACAACAGTTCATTTAATGACCACTCGAAGTTACAACAGCACTGAAAAATGTGACTTATGAGTTCACAGTTGCAACCTTTGCAGCATCCCCAGGGCCATGTGATCAAAATTCAGAGCCTTGGCCACCTGCCCGTCTCTACGACCGTCGCTACAAGTATTCTCCTTTATTGGGGTTTGTTTTTTATTTTTTATTTTATTTGTACACACATTCCATCTTTCATTTGAATAGTGTGTCGTTGGAGTATTCATATCTTGTGCAATAACCATGATAGTTTATATTCATTGCTTTTACTTTAATACTCTATTCTTATATCATAGTAATCTACATCGTATATCTAATTCTTCTAACATTCCCCATTTTTAATTCTTACCACGTGTTTACTCTTTTATGCTAGTCTTCTTTCGTTTCTAACTTCCATCTTTATTTTCCAACCATTGATAAAATGAATCCCATATTATATAATATTCAGTGTGTTCCTTCTCTTGGATTGCTAATGTTAATCTATTCATTTCTGCACAGTTTAGTATTTTTCTAATCCTATTCTCTTCCATTGGAATCTCTTCACTTTTCCAATTTTGTGCAAATACAATTCTAGCTGCATTTAATACATGAATAATTAAATATACATTCTCTTTACTGTAAGTTTCAGGTATAATCCCCAACAGAAATATTTCAGGTTTTAAATCAATATGTTGCTGTGTCATCTTTTCCAACCATGTATGTATTTTTGTCCAACATCTAGCTTCATATCCACCACATATGATAATATGTTCCTAGTGTCTGGTGACATTTCCAGCATTTAGCTGATTTATCTTTAAACATCCTTGACAGTCTTGCTGGCGCAAAATGCCATCTAAAGAACATCTTATACAGAGTTTCTTTCTATGCAGTTGACATTGTTAGTTTTTAGTTTCTATCCCACAATTTCTGCCATTTATCTAATTCTATAGTGTAACCAGCAAAAATTTATTGGCAAAAGTCTGGGTTTATGTAACATGCCAATCCAAAACCGAACATCTTTTGGGAGAAGGGAGCCCTGCCACCTATCCCAAACAGTAGCAGCTAATTCACTTTGTGCATAGGCGGCTGGATCTGGAAAGAAAGATTTAGGGTGCAAAACTGGATCAAACAAGTCTCTCTATTTTTCAAAGGCCATGAGCAACATCTGGTTATGTGGGCAGGAGTGAAGACCCTTCCCATTGCTCCAGCCTCACCGCTTCTACAATGGTGCCAAAATGCTCCTGGTCACCAACTCACCATTCACCCGGTATGGGGCAGTCTTCATTTCAATCCGTAAAAGTTCTTGTTTTTGGCGCACGGGGTTGACGGGTTCTCTAAAATAGACCCTCACGATTGGTGTCAGTCCACTGTAGTGGCCCATCCGAATAGTCATATCTTGGGTCTGCAAGAAGAAGGTTGGAGAGTCTCTCTCAAGCGATCCTTTGTTGTTATATTATTATTATTGTTGTTGTTGTTGTTGTTGTTGTTATATCTTTAGTGAGATTCACAGCCTTTGGGGCTAGTTGATAGCTCAACAGCTCAAGTCCTAACCAAGGACCTAGGAACTGTTGTTATTGTTATATTATTATTGTTGTTGTTGTTGTTATTTCTAAGGTTTTTTTTTTATTCTTGTAAGCATCCAAAAGTAGCCCTCGCAGTGAGATGGGCAACCAACACATTGAACGAATAATAATAATTCTAAGTCGATGAACTTGGGGGATTGGGTGGTACTGGCTCCCTACCACACCGGTAGACCCACTCCAGTTGTGACCTAGCCTTCTCCCATCACCAAAGTGTGTCCCTTTTCTTAATAAATAACGAAAGCAAATAACAATTAACTGGTAGAATAGCTTGCCTTCAGAAGTTGTGGGTGCTTCATCATTGGAGGTTTTTAGGAAGAGACTGCACAATCACTCATTTCAAATTGTATAGGACTCCTGCCTGAGCAGGGGGTTGGACTAGGGCAGGGGTCGCCACCTTTTGGACCTCAGGGACCACCAAACTCATAATTTTAAATCCCGCGGACCAGAGACCCTAGGAAAATCCCCCAAAAAGTCTGAAGGAAAATTCCCCACCCCATTTTCCTAACCGGTCGATCATTCTTTATTTGGGACTGCAGGATACCATCTCCAGCTCCGTTCTCAGGGGGAGAAAGAGAGAGAGAGACTTTTGGCTTCATGCAAGGAAAGCAGCAGAAGCAGCAGAAGTCTTTCTTTCTCTCCCCCAAACTCCGCCAGAAATGAGTCTTTGTGAGACTTGTGGCGCCGGTGCAGCCTCTTGGAGCAAGGATGCCTTGCAGGGTCCCAAAGACTCATTTCTGGCAGAGTTTGGGCGAGAGAAAGACTTTTGCTGCTTTCCTTGCGTGCAGCTAAAAGCAGAAGAAGCAGAAAGAAGCACCTGGTGGCCAGGCCAGACACGTGGGGTGAATGGGGCAAGTTCCCCTCCTCCGCCCTTTCCCCCCCTTCCCTCACTACCTCGTGTTGTTCGCAATGCAAGTGACGCAAGGCTTGTGTTCCCATGGGCCATGTGGGCGGTGCAGCCTTGTGTTCCTGTGTAGCCTGGATTAATTGCTTTGGGGGGTGCTTTGAGGGTGACATTTATCTGCGGACCACCAAAATTTTCTCATGGACCACTAGTGGTCCTCAGCCCACTGATTGGCAACCACTGGTCTAGAAGACCTCCAAGGTCCCTTCCAGCTCTATTCTGATTGACTAAAGCAGGACCCTTCCAAACCTAATTCCTCTCCTTCTCTCGATCAAGGAACTGTTACCAATTACGCACACATTTCATCCTTACCCAAAAGATGCAAGATAGAGCTATTTTCAGGAAGTATGGAAATCCATAGTAATTCTTTAAAAAGAAAAAAAAGAGTTATTTTCAGAAGTCTTTTCTCTTTATACATCACACACAATGCTTTTTTTTTCTCATAAGGCTAGTGGGAGCTATTATCTTCTGCATCTCCAGTGAGTAATTCACCAAACTTTGATTTGGTCCACTGCACTGGCTAAATTCAAAGCAGGATAGGTAGGTAGGTAGGTAGGTAGGTAGGTAGGTAGGTAGGTAGGTAGATAATGGATGGACGGGTGGATGGATAGATGATAGGTAGGTAGGTAGATGAATAGATGGATGGATGGAAGGATAATATAGATAGATGTAGTAGATAGATAGATAGATAGATAGATAGATAGATAGATAGATAGATAG